CTCCGCATTTAGCAAATTAACCCGACCATAGGCGCGCTGCCAAGTCCATGCACAAATACCTAATTATCTCAGCAATGGTTGTCATCGGAGTAAATCAAACGGACTGAATGAAGCGTTTCTGTTTGCCTATGTCATGAAAATCAATTTACAAGAAATAGGCAGTGGTGGCGGGGAGAAAAACGCATCTGATACCGACGGATGATCTGTTGTCGTCGGCGTGCGGCTCAGACCAGAGTTGCGAAAGGTTGCCGCATTCTGGGGACTGCGCCTACTAGCGGCAAGTACTTCGGGTTGGCACGCTCAACTACCCTGAAGGAAAGTACACTCAGCTAAAGGCCTCTCCATGTCACCATCCCTGCGGATTCGCAGGCAATTCCAACCTCAAGCAAGGAACCAGTTCGCCAAGGCATCACTCACGGTGGCCACATCACCGCCACCCGCCATGTGTAGATAACTCGGAAGTCTCTCAATCTCATCTCTGGTGTCTTTCACATCCCTCTGCATCTTTGCATCAGCACAGCACTTCGATAATGACGGTTCCGCTTTCGCCGATCCTGCGGACGGCCGTCTGGGTCGTGGCGGCTCCGCTGGGCCTCTACTTCACTTTCCTGGCCCTAGGCGCAACACCTTTCTTCCAACGACAGTAAGACTTGTTGTCATATATCTCTTGCTCCTGGTCAGCATTTTCTAATGAAATTATTAAAGCTTTCTGTACGCCCACAAGATCAACACCCTCTGGTGGCGTGACGTTGACAAGCCTGAGAGATGGGGCTTTGCAAGTAAGTCTGCGCACCAACCCCCATGTAAGACGCGCCATTGCTGACAACCTCCCTCCAAAGAGGGCCAAGCCACGCCTTTTTCGCTCGAAACTCCAGATGGAGTGAGCTTGTATGCATGGCATGTTATGCCTCTGCCTCAGTACCTGAAGCAGGAGGAGAGATTCTCAGTGCAGAAGGGTGGCTTTTGCCAAGATTTCACCGAAACCGAGTCTTTCAAGGCTTTGAAAGAGGATCCGGATGCTCGGGTTGTACTTTCATGTAAGTCATTAATTATCATTACATATGCTTCCAAACGCTAATTAGTCGTAGTCCACGGTGTAAGAAATGTCCGACTCGTGATTTCCTATGCTCTCATACTGACCATGTGCAGAACGCTGGTGACATTGCGCAAGGCCATAGGCCGGACAGCTACCATGTCATTACTGATACTTCATCATACCACGTCCTGGCAATCGACTATCGTGGCTTTGGTCACTCGACAGGTCGCCCAACCGAGTACGGCCTGATTCAAGATGCCGCCACTCTGATCGACTGGGTCATCAACGTTGCCGGCGTGCCCTCGGACCGCATCGTTCTTCTCGGCCAGAGTCTCGGCACAGCCGTGACCAGCGGTGTCGCCGAGCTCTACGCCTCGCAAGGAATCGAATTCGGCGGTGTCATTCTCGTCGCGGGCTTCAGCAACCTGCCCAAGATGCTGAGCGGCTACAAGATTGGCGGCTTGTTTCCCGTGCTGGGACCCTTGAAGGTCTGGCCAGGCTTCTTGGAGTACATGGAGGGCTTCATCTACGACAAGTGGCCGTCGGTCGATAGGCTGGAGAGCCTGGTCAAGCTGACGAAGAGACGTCTGCGCTTGACGCTCATCTCGGCCAAGGACGATGCGGACATTCCCTGGACGGAGAGCAACAAGCTTTTCCGCGCGGCTGCGAATGCGACTGTCCCTGAGGGGCTGAGTGACCATTCATTCGAGGCGTGGAAGGACGTGCGTACTATTCACAAGGGCAAGAACGCCTTTGTAACTACATGGAACGCTGAGCCAAACATCATAATTCGCCAGGAGCTTTTCCCGCACGGTGGTAAGTAAACTTAATCGATAAGGCTATTTTGTGAAGGGCATTCTTTCTAACTCTCGCAGGACACAACGACATCATGGGATATGCGCCTGTAATTCTTGCAGTGATGCGTTCCTTCGACCTCGCAGGCACGGCTTATGACATGGCAGGATCGGATACTAGCAGTAGAACATTATAATCGCGGTTATGGGCTTTCCATGCCGGTATCTTTTGCATAGAACTCAAGAGCGCCAGCATTAGAGTAGAGCGGAAGGTGTTTAGTTGTTGTACCTCATAGCACCTATTCGAGGGTGCAATTACTTGTTTGGAAGAAGGAACAGTTGTGACTTTTGCGTTGGCGCTTCGGTCTCCTGGTATAGAATTGATTTAGTCTGGCATGATATCCATATTTCCTCGGTTTTCATTCCTGCTGCCTCTAGGGCATGGATGAGTAGACCACTCAGTCGCAATACCAACAGAATAGCGCGATACTCGGGGTTATGAATCTTGAGGGGATTTACTCAGACTTTTCAATGATTCATTGCCTCAGAAGAGTATGCAGCAAACTATTGTTTCATTTGACGCACTTTTGATCATATTCCATCACTCGAGGATAACAACTCATGAGGTATTTACACTTATCAAGGGTCTGAGTAGTCACCCAGGAGGGAGCCATAAATGCCAACAAGCAGAAGTTGAGAATGAAGAACATTTCATTTTTCATCGTTAAAATTCTTGAAACACGAATAACTCAACTAAAATGGACCCGTTCACCTTAGTGAACACGTTGAACTTTGAATAGTGACTCTTGAACAAGTCGTCCAGAATGCGTTGTCATAACTAGTCTTTCGCAGTTTAGCGCCAGGGTGTTGGGAGGGGACTGATCGCCGCACCGCGGGTTGGCACCTTCTGCCCCGCAGTGCCATGGCCCCTAGCAGGTGACCCCGCCATGATGCAGTCACACAAACACAGCTGGAGCCTGTACCGCCTGGGAGCACAGCTGGCACATGAAACTGTCCTCTCTCGCGCCAAAACTTCTTCCCCGCCATTCCCACCGCGCAAGCTTGAACAGAGCTCCAGGAAGCTCCCACCAACAACCCCGAAAATCGACCACTCCCACCACAAACCGTCGAATAGAGGACAATAAGATGCCTGCCGAAGAGTCTAAACCCCTTGACCCGGCCGTCAAAGACGCCAACGACACCCTTGCCGAGGCGAGCGACAAGGGCAAGGGCAAGGAAGTCGAGGTCGAGTCCGAGGACGATGAGGAGGAGGATGCGCCCGAGACTGCACCCGGCGCAACTGCAGATGCTCCCAAGAAGAAGAAGAAGAAGTCCAAAAGAAAGAAGGTCAAGGATGCGCTCACCGGCAAGCCCAGCGACCCGGAGGCTGCCATCAAGGAGGCCATCGGTGGTCTGACGCCCCAACAGCTCACTGAGCTTCTCGCCCTGAACCCGGCGTTGGCGAACGAGCTCGGCGTTGGAAGCTCTAGCAACAAGTCGGCCGAGGAGACCGCTGCGGCGATGAAGAACTTGAACCTGCAGGACATTATGACGGGTCTGGCCTCGGCTGGCAAGAACGCCAAGGATATGGCGAGCTACAAGTTCTGGGCCACGCAACCCGTGCCCAAGTTTGGTGAGGCGGAGGCTAAGGTTGAGGATGGCCCAATCCGCATTCAAAAGGTGGAAGAGGTTCCTACGGAGGCGTCGCCAATGGTCGCTGGCTTCGAGTGGGTTACAATGAACCTCGAGGACGAGGGGGAGATGAAGGAGGTGTACGAGCTGCTCAACGGCCACTATGTCGAGGACGACGAGGCCATGTTCCGCTTCAATTACTCACCAGCCATGCTTAAATGGTAAGTACTCTGCTTTAAGTAACATGCAGACAGGCCTAAGCTGACCATCTTCGCAGGGCCCTCATGGCTCCTGGCTGGCGCAAGGAGTGGCACGTCGGTGTTCGCGCAACGCAGTCTAGAAAGCTCGTTGCCTTCATTTCCGCCATCCCCGTCAACCTGCGCGTGCGCAAGAACGTCGTCACTTGCTCTGAGGTCAACTTCATGGTTGTCCACAAGAAGCTCCGTGGCAAGCGCCTCGCTCCCGTGCTGATCAAGGAGATCACGCGCCGCAGCAACCTGCGCGAGATCTGGCAGGGTCTCTACACGGGTGGTGTGGTGCTGCCCAAGCCCGTCAGCACATGCCGTTACTTCCACCGCGCCCTCAACTGGCAGAAGCTGTACGAGGTCGGTTTCAGCCCGCTGCCCCCCAATAGCAAGCCGCAGTACCAGATTCGCAAGTACCAGCTTCCAGATAACACGTCGACCAAGGGCCTCCGCGAGCTCCAGGAGAAGGACCTTGATGCGGCAAACGAACTTCTGGCCAAGTACTTGAAGCGTTTCGACATGGCCCCTGAGTTCTCCAAGGACGAGTTCAGGCACTGGTTCCTCCATGACAAGAATGCCCCTGGCGAGCAGGTCATCTGGACATATGTCGTTGAGGTTCGTTGCATGTCCCTATCCCTTCTCTGCCCAATGTATACTGACATCCAGCTAGACCAATGGAAAGATCACCGACTTCTTCTCCTTCTACTGCCTCGAGTCTACCGTGATCAACAGCTCAAAGCACCAAGTCGTTCGTGCCGCCTACCTCTGGTACTACGCCTCCGAAGTTGGCCTGACCACGCCCCTCGACAAAGCCGCCCTGAAGACACGATTGAACTCCCTTATTGGCGACGCCCTGATCTTGGGCAAGAAGAACAAGTTCGATGTCTTCAACGGCCTGTCGTTGCTCGACAACGGCCTCTTCCTGGAGCAGCAGAAGTTCGGCCCCGGTGACGGCCAGCTCCACTACTACCTCTTCAACTACCGTGCGGCCCCTATTGCTGGCGGCGTGGACCGGAGAAACAAGCTCGACGAGGAGAACCTGAGTGGCATTGGCTTGGTAATGTTGTAAGTCGCATGAGATTATGAGCGGATGACGGAGGAGGAAAACCCAAGGGTGGTGAGCACAGCGAATAGCTGCATGCATACCGGCGTTAGGAGATGAATGTGAGGTATCACAGTAAATGAATCAAGCCATCACGAGCTATGACTACTCTTCATCGTGTGTCATGTCACAATCTGCCATGCTCTGCTCTCTGGGTTTCCGCCCAGCGGCTACACCAAATCCACCCAATCCTAAGCACTCATCTTTTCCACCGTTGCGATCCTTTCCTCCAACCACTTGTTCATCCACGGCACCCTATCCATAATGGGTGCATGCCCCATGCCCTCCACGAACTCTACGACACCCGGCTGCAGATGCTCGGCCAGTAACCTCCCGTGATGCGAGTCAATCATGACATCGCCTAGCCCGTGAATGACGGCGATGCGCTCCCTGCCGACCTGGTCCGCGAGCTGTTTTAGTTGGGCGGGCGACTTGTGATGCCACCCCGCCGCAACGAGCTGCTGCAGAAAACCACGGATACTGAATAACCCAGGCGTGTTCCTCTTGATCAGCTCCTGCGCCTGGAACCGCTGGAAATTACTCTCGAACCGACCGTACCCCTGCCCGCCGTCCGCCGGGCCACACTTGTACGTCGCGTCGTTGGGCAGCTCGGCCGCCTCGTCGGGCATGACGAGCCAGTCGGCGGGGAAGAGCTTGAGCGAGGTATCCGCGATACTCCGGTCCGCCGATTTGGGGACGAGCATGGCGGCGCGGTCGCGCATGTTTTCGAGGAGAGATTTCGTGTTTTCGATCCAGGGGGCCGTGCAGAGCAACGTCACGGAGGCGAAGAGGTTAGGGGCGGCGAAGGCGAGTTCTTGGGAGATCATGCCGCCCATGGAGATGCCAAAGAGGTGGACGGAGCGGGAGGCGGTCCAGCCTACGTGGGTGAGGACTTCGAGGGCGTCGTGGGCCATTTCGGAGGTGGAGTAGCGGATGTAGGGGACGTCGGACTCGCCCATGCCGCGGTTGTCGAGGATGAGGACGGAGTATTTGGAGGCGTTGTCGTGGCCAAAGTATTTTGTTTGGCGCTGCCATGAGGTTTTGAGGCCTGCCAGGCCCATTATGAACTTTTGGGGTTTGTGTTAGTTCAAGGTCTGACGGGAATGAAAACATGGAAGTGGGTGACGATTGCGTACTATGATCTTTGAGGGGCCGTGGCCGTGGATTTCCCAGGCGATGTTGAAGGGGCCGCCTCGGTCCTTGGCGACGGGACATTTTCCCTTGCGATCGGGTTCGAGGTTCCATATTGTTGAGGAGTATGAGGGATGCCTCATTGTCTCTTCCGCCGTGGGAAAGACTGGTACTCTGGTCATCTCGTCAGCATACATGGCTGTTACGTAGATGACTGGTTGAAGCTTACTTTGTCGCCATGGCTGCTGTTCTGGAAGGGATTATAGATGATAAATTCAGAGGTCCGTGGATCTTAGGATGACCCAACACGTGGATTCAGCGTGGTTATACTATGTACTCTTCGTGTTCGGGATAAAGAAATCTGTAAATGTTTGGAGAACCCCGGATGAGTGGCGTTGAAAGGTGTTACAGATGAGTTTGGATTGAACTCGAGGGGGGGCTGCGTATGAGAGCTATGAGCTAGGCATGTGAGCTGAAGAATGAGATAGAGGGAAGCTCGATTCTCGATAGATCCCTGCGCCCTAAGAAAGATGCGACGAAAGAAGCAAGCGTTTCTTAATAACAACTTGTAGCTTTAGCGTCCTTGTGGAGGGGGGAAACTGTGCAATCGGATCAGTTTGTCTAAATTACATAAATGCAGAACATGCGGGCTCTCAAGAGACTAAATGCGATCATGGGATTGTGTCAAGCGCAATGCGGTGCGCAATAAGCGGCTGGTGACGTTGTCCATCGAAGGCGACGGTTATAGAGGTACAGATGTGACACGAGCAGATATGTGGGAATGGAAGTACTCTGGTAACATAGAATCGTGCGACATGGGGGTTCCACTTGGACTATGCCTCGGCATCGGGGAGCTCTCATTCACCGCAGGCAGGGCTCCAGCACTGACAAGGACGTTGCATGCTGTTGGTTCATTCAAGTTGATGATCTCCGGGTAGAAGAATATCAGATGAAGCTGGGATTATGTAGTTTGCTATATGAGAGAGCTATTCCTTCGTTTTCACGTGTACTGATAAGTGTACTAGTCCCATTGTAGTTGAAGATGGCGCACCTATTGTAAGACGACTTGAGTCTTTGACTTTCCGGAGAGCCATCCGTAGTGGTATTCGAGGGATACGTACCGCCACAGACGATACTGGAAACGGACAGTTGGAGCTCGAGCCATTTGCTGACTGATGGAGACGCCAAGGAACATCTGCCATGTGGTTGACCGCCTTCTTCAGCAATGTGGGCCAAAGCGGCAGAATCGATAGCTGGCGCAACTGCGACGCTGCTTACCCTGCACGTTACTGCTGGCCGTTTCGTTTGCTGGATGATCACCAACGACACCTCTCATCAGCTAGCATCATCCAGGAAAACCAGCATCACCAAACATTTGTCTCTCTAGATCTTCAAGCATTCGAATACGCGAATGCGAAGCCTTAAATAACACTCAACATGCTTCACGTATAGCTACGTCTAGGCACCATCATGTGGCTTCCGCTGCCATCAACCGACACCCTGACGCGGCCACGCATCGCCGTGGTCCTCTTCTCTGCTGTCGCCGCGGCGTCTCTGGGCTACTACACCTACCAGGCCAACAGAGACCAGTACGATGAGGTCCCAGGCCCAGGCCTTCACCGAAGCAATGCCGTCCGCCGGAACCACAGAAGATCACGTCGCAATTCACTCTCCTCCGAAGGCTCCCATGGCGACGAGAATGTCGATCTCGACGCAGAGCGTCCTGCGAACGACGCCGATACGATAGTTGACGGCGGGACGGTTGACGAATGGTGGAACGACCCTAATAGCATGCAACCCCAAGCGCGAGCTGGTCACAACATCGTCAGTCTTCTGTTTAGGGTATCGGAGGACAATGCCAGGCGAAACGCGTGCGTCCATAGAGGATGCGCATGCAATGCCTGCGGCATGGTGCCCATCCGCGGTGTCCGATACCGATGCGCCAATTGTGCCGACTTTGACCTCTGCGAAACCTGCGAATCCCAAGGCGTCCACATCAAGACTCACATCTTCTACAAGATCAAAGTGCCCGCCCCGCCCTTTGGACCCCGCCAGATGCAGCCCGTTTGGTACACCGGTGACCCTGATACACAAATACGGAATCTATCTAAAGGCTTGATGGCTAGACTTAGCAGGGAAACCGGCTTCGAAAGGCCCGAGATTGAAGCTTTCTGGGAACAGTTTACGTACATGGCGAACACGGAATGGCGCGAGGACCCCGACGAACTGGCGCTGGCCATGGACAAGAAGACCTTTGAGCGATGCCTGGTTCCATCGGGTGGCTCTAGACACGCAACACCAAACCTCATCCACGACCGCATGTTCTCGTTCTATGACACCAACAACGACGACCTCATTGGCTTCACAGAGTTTCTCCACGGTCTTGCATACCGCAAACGCAAGGACAAGCTGCGCAAAATCTTCGAAGGCTATGATATAGACGGAGACGGTTTTGTCAACCGCCGCGACTTCCTACGTATGTTCCGCGCATACTACGTCCTCTACAAGCAGATGCACCGCGACATTCTCGACGGACTCGACGATCAGCTTATGGGCAGCACCGAAGCACAGCAGCTCGTCACTAGTAGACAACCCCTGAGTAGCCTGTTTGGCCGAGAGGGTAGAGTGCCTCGCGCTGATGGCAATAACCGCAGTGAGGGCAAGATCTTCCACCCAAATGGAGATGTGGAGCTGGAACCGGGTAGGCGTGGTGTCGTCAGCGACAATAGGGTCGATACCTCAGGACGAGAGGATGTGCTTACTCGGCTGTTCGCGCCTTACATTGGAAGTCCCTGGTCTCTCCAAATGCGATCTCCTGATAGCGAGCCTGACACGCCATACTGGGATGCTCTGCTGAACCCGCCTACCACCATTGACGACCTTCCTGCTCTGCTTACTGGGCAACGTCGTGAACGCAATGGCATTGATTTCGACTTTGAGATTGAGATGGGCAGCTCAGATGGTGAAGAAGGAGGTAACAACAATTCGGATGCGGAAAACAGGAGTCAACCAGGTGACGATCCGGCACAAGTCAACGGCACCACAAACCACAATCAGAGAGTTGATCCCGATCAGTTCACCAACGCAATGCCTACCGAGAGCCAGCTCAGAGCTCAGGTTATCAACCATAAGAGGCAGATGGCCCCCGATATCGAGCGTAAAAGGCGGCAAGCTGCCAGAAAACAGTTGCACGACAGATGGAAGAGAAGGCAGTTTTACCTTGACGAAGAAGAGGGTGGCCTTGCCCCCGATGGCTGGCAATCCGATGAAGATGTCTTGGTGAACCTCAATGGTGTTGCGGAAAGCTCAAAGGCGGCACAACAGCAGACATTACCTCCTCGATCTCGATCGTCGTCAAAGGTTCGCTTCGCAGAAGATATGGATGACTACGAGATCCGATCCAATCCCTCGACATCTTCTAGGAGCGTGCCCGAGCGTTGGGGAGGCATGGAGATCCCTGATGAGGAACGCGACGCAGGCAGGGAGATCCTCTACCAGGTTACGCAGCAGGCCTTCAACGAGCTCCTTGATGCTATATTCAAGGACAAGGAGAACTTGGCCGTCAAGGCAGCTGCGACCAAGGCAAAACGAGCTAAGAACAGGCCTCTGTTCGAGCACTTGACTGTCGCTGAGCCGATGCGCAAGGTGGTCGAGCCACGACAACCGAGAAAGGCCCTAGACGAGGATAAACCTGTTGCCGAAAGAACCCTGGAAGAACTTCTGATGACTAGCGGTTACAGAATCGGGGAGAATGGCGAAACGGAAAACGTTCCCATCTCAGAAGAGCGTCAGAGGGTGGAAGAAGTCATTGACTCGGATGAGGATGATGTTGAGGTGAATGAAGACAACGAGGAAGACGTCTCGACCGTGGAGGAAGCCGAGTATCGGGACCCTACTATGCCTCAGTTCCGTCCGAACAGCGAGGCGGATGAGCCTATGTCTCCTGGAAGCACCCCGCCCACTTCAGACGACTCCTCGTTGTCGACTAAGGGACTCAAGTCGCCCTTGCAGGGAAAGACACCGAAGTCTTCCAAGGAGTCAAAATCCATTCCGCACTTTACGCTGCTGGAATGGAAACGGCTTGATTTAGCCGAGAAGGAAGCTGCCGATCGCGGCGGCTGGGGCAAGCTCAGCTTTGATGAGTTTGAGGAAATCTACAAGAGCCAGGAGAACGCTGGTAATCGTCTGGACTACCTTGGTAGCTGGGTCGACTTTTGCATCCCCTAGCGCGAAGGAAACAACAGGAGACAGTCTGACCAATCACGGCCCTGGCCGACACCGTTTCTCGAAGCATACGCTGCCGAAGATTGCCCCAGGGAATACGAGGAATGCGATGAATCCTTGGGATGGGAGGATTCATTGGGATCTTTTGATAGTGACAGCCCGTCTGATCAGTTCACTGATAGCGATGTCCCCTCGAGCATGGTACAGAGTTTTTCAAGCTTGGTGAGACATGCTGCAGTGGACGCGGATGTAGATGCAGATCAGAGACGGCTATGGGGTTGATACTCGGGCTGCCTTGCACCAGTGAGGTGACTGTACCCTGCATGATAGAAGCTGAAAGGCCTCAGCGTAGACAACATCGTCTTGAGTATTGCATTAGAGCGGCTACTCTCAACCCGGAGTTTTGAGAACAGGGGAAAATGTATATTACTAGGCACTTGCAAATGATCCGCCAGCCAAGCAAAAGTTTTATTGTGTGTTTGAGGTTGTTCTTGCAAAAAGAGTGACACTCATTTTGCCATGAATGAGACGAGCCTTACTAGAACGCCTTCCACTTACGATGACAAGATTCTTCCGCCCTCAGTAAAGATGGTCGCACCAGTAATGTTCCCATCCTTCATCAAATACAGATACGCCTCCGCTACGTCCTCGGGCCGTCCAAGCCTCCCAGTCAGCGTCTTGCTTCGGAACCTCTCGATGGCCGCCTCAGGCAGCGTCTGGAACAGCTCCGTCGTCACAGGCCCCGAGGAGACGAGGTTCACACGCACGGGGGCGAGGTTAAAAGACAGGCCCCTGACCAGCCCTTCCATCGCGCCCGAGGCACAGTCGGCGACGGCCCAGCCTGGCATGGGTCTGTGGGAGCTGGAGCCGTTTGTCAAAGTCAGCGAGGTGTCTGGTCCGCGTGTGATGTATTTCTCCGTGGAGAGGAGGCCGGCGAGAATCGTGGGCGCGTAGGCTCTCATGGAGAGGGACGCGGTGATGTGGGAGGGTCGCGTGTCCGTGAGGGAGGGAAGGGG